TTTAAGTCATTTTATTCGACTTTACGTCTGTCCGCCACAAATATTGAAGTCGTAATATCACTAGAAAAACGTTTAAAGCACATAAAATCATATTAAAATATATACTAGTATGTTCTGTATTTACAGTACATGCATTCGTAAATTTAGAATACTTTTTTCTGTACTATATTAAAAACTAAAATTTATTTGTTTGTAAGCTTAAAATAGATTTTTATTAACCATATATTATTAAAAATGCATTAATAAATAAAATACAAAACCAGGAATGGTAATTTATGGTTTAGCCTAGTGACAAGTAGATTCGGAGACAAGTAAATTCGACTTACGTCGTTCTCCTGGAACCAATTACCGACGCAAGGCGAGGTATACCTGTAATGTGTGATAATTTCACAACAAATAAATGTACATGCATAAGTGTTATATAGAGTTGTACAAAATAATATTCTACGTCTTTCTGGCTCAGTGCCAGCAAAAAACTAGGTAACTAGACAATGTTAATTTTGATGAAAGTTACAAATTATCAAGTTTAAATATCAGTTCTGATATATATATATATTTTTTTCTTATAAATTTTTCTAATAAATTGTATTAAAAAATATATGTAAAACTAAAGATATTAATAAATGTACGTAATTTTTTTCATTTGAATATAATGATAATTTGATTTTTGGTGAATTTTTAAAATAATATTGCCTGGCTGACCTATATTGCCTTAGTACGGATTAAAAAAATAAATGTAAACAAGATGGTGGTGGTAAAGGGTTAAATATATTTATACTAGCAGATGAGCCCTGCATTGCTCGAGCAAAAACTAGTGATAGCCAAGATTAAGATTCTTAGATTATAGCTGATCTTACCCATTTTCACCAGGTGCAAGAATTAGTCACTCCTCTTCCAAGAGTAATTAGAAAATTTTTAGATGGGTCTAAAAATATGTTTGATTTCCTGCAAAAACACAAAAAACAGCACCTAAAATAGTACAGCCAAGTTCTTCAGGGTAATCTTTAACCCTCTACCTCATGGAGTAATTTCGAAAAATCCCTTCTTAGTGTACATTCTCATGATGTACCCTAACTGTGTACAAAATTTCAACTTTCAACTCCTAACTGTTTGGGCTCTGCGCTTATTATTATTATTAACCCATCTTGATTATATTATAAGATACAAATAAAATAATTTTTTATATATTAGTATTTAGAGAATATTCATGTTAATTTTGATTTCTCTAAGTAAAACTGTTTTAACTTCAATATAACCATCACATCATAACAATATAATTGATATGCAAATGTATGTAACATAAGACATGTATTATCCATGATAGCATTTACACATCATCAACATTACATTATTTATGTCATAAACATAAAGAAAAATTCTACTGCTTAAATTCACATATTTAAATGTATATTTCATATTTATTACTATTACATTTTTAAAACAATTTTTATCTTTACACTTTTTGTATATATTTTCATTTTTTTTATTTAATTATAATTTACATCAATTCAAATTTTATATTATTTTATTTTTATTTAATTCTGCTACTAGTATTATATAATACCTAAAGATTATTGTCAATTTTTTTTTTATACTTAAATTCAAATTGTCTGCATATTATACTTTTTTTTTTATTTGTTAAATTTGTTATTGTCAAAATATTTTCAAATGTCATAAATACTAAGATAAAATAGTGTAGCAAATTAAACATTTCATATTATTTATAGAAAAAATATATATACATAACAAGTAAAAATTATTGTGACATCATCACAATGCTGGGCTGCAATTTTTAATCATATTCTTAATTTATTTAATTTTAAATATATATTCTTGATTTCAAATTAGTAGTGTCTTGCCCCTGTACATTATATTTTTCCTGATAACAACAGAGTCATGCTGGTCATCTAACTCGTTTTGGAGAAACTTTTTGATGGACAACAGTAAAAATTTGTAGGTCTACAATTTTTTCAAATTTCAGCCCAATGATCTGATAATCATTTATAACAAACAAGAGAAATTTATACTCCAAGAATTTATTAATTTTAAAAATTATTTGAATATAAATTTTCATTTTAAAATTCAGTAAATTTTCTATATTTTTTAATTGTTTTATTGTTTATTATTGTAGTTCTAAAAATATTATTATTGTTAAAATGCTTACTTCAGGTGTAGCACCATCTGTTATCGCTTTGTCAGGACTAGCTTCTGATGTGGGTGATGCTTTGCTTTCTTCTTCACTTGTCTGTTCTTGTTCTGAAAGTTCCAAACTTGACTGAGGTGTAATTTCAGGTTGTGTTTGAGTGGGTGCCATGTGATACCTATATTAATTTTTTAATTCTTTACTAATAGAACAAATATTTCTTTATTAACATTTCATAAATTGTTTAATAACTAACCTAATTTCACCATCTTCTTCTTCTTTAGTAATATCAACACCAAATGCTTGCATTGGAGCAACTGTTTCTGATGGTTCTCCTAATAGTGCTAATTCACCCATTGGCATAGTCTCTATTGCAAGAGGTGTACCCATAGGAACCATTACACCTGGTTTGAAAAATAAGTCTACTTTCATTGTTTCTTCTTCTTCAGGAACAGGATATAAAGGTTGACCTCCCATTAGCAACATAATGAATTTTGTTACTGCTCTGAAATGACATTTATTTTAAAATTTATTATTATGAGCCTATCATTCATTAAAATATAATTAATTAAGTAAATTTATTATTTTTGTATTAGTTTAAAACAGAAAATTCATTGATATGAATTTATGCTATATAATACTATAGAAAAACAATTCTGGATAAAAATAATTTTAAAAAAATTATAATTAGAATATTCATGATAAAAGAAATAAAAATATTATAAATATAGAGTGCCTTTCTTTCAAAAAGAAAGACAATGAAAGGTATACTTACCTAACTGAGAAATATATATACCATCCAGTGTAGAAAAATGTGTTAAAAATAATCAAGAAGAAACCTTTTATCAATTCAAGATATGTTTTCTGACACATGATTGCATATTGTTTTTTAAGATTTGATGGTGTGAATAAGCACAAGAATGAAACAATTAAATTAAAAACATAACGAAGACCTCGCTTCACAGGTTCAAAAGCTGATCTGAAAAATTTAAACATTGTCAATTAAGAAATATTTATTTAACAATAACTGTTTATCAACTATTATAATTTTAGATAATTCTAGATAAATTTTGAATAATCTGTTAATTAAATAATTTTTAAAATTAATATATCTAATGTATCTACATGTTGAAAACTGTTTTGTATATAGAAAATTATCAATAAATTTTGGATGACAACATGATTATTTCTGTAAAAAGTCTATTTTCTCTTCTCAACAAAGGTATAAAAAGCTACAATATTAGAATACATTATTGGATAATCTGAAGGGGGACATGTCTCAACTGCTAGGGTTGCTAGTGACTTTCTCTCTGCACTTCGACAAGAAACAAGAAATTAGTGTATTTATCATCCTTAATTAAACCAAGTTAACTAAAAAGTGTTCATAACTAATCACAAATTATTATCTTCTGAAGAAATACTAATAATTAATTGACATGAAATGTTCACCAGCTAAACGTAGCAGACCTTCACTAAACCGAATCAAGCAGGTAAGTAAAAAGGATTAATCAAGCTCATCTAACTCCAAGTTTATAATAGTTCTTAATCTACAAGTGGATAAAGATTTACAAGACTCATCTTTAGTGAATAACAACTTTCAGATGGACACAATATCACAAAGTTTACAAAATTCTCCAGGTGAGTCTAATGCACTCTATCCGATCTCACTAACATGGGTGAGTCATTAGACACCTCTATGGTACAAAATTTACAAAATCTCAGAACTGATAAATACCTCTAATGATAAATTATTGAAGAACAAGGGAAGTACCGAAATAATCCTGACCTTAATGTGGGGTAAGAGTTGTCTGAGAACCTCACAATTACAACACACCTCAGGACCAATAGATAGATAAACAATTTATAACAATTTATATACATGTACATATAGCAATTGATAATATTAGCAATACAATAATTACCAATCATGCAGCAATTAATAATACCTAATTGGTACAATAGACTCGCTAATTACAAATCCGATAGTTAAAAATTTACAGTTAATTACAAGGAGAGTCCATGTTGTCGATCTGCTTGCACACAATTCTTCGTAACAATGATATAGTCCATATTCGATAACAAAGGGGTTGATAATCATGTGTTGGAAAATGTTATTAATCACAAAAATAATGTAGCAAGGGGTTCTAACCTGTAAAGTTTTCTCTTCTATAATTAGAGATATTGTTCCTCATATCATTCACATGTCAATGCAGTTGGATTTTTCTTTCCTTCCCCTTTGATCTCTCCCAAATCATATATCATTCATATATAGTGACCCTTACCTTCCTTCTCCTCGTCCTCAGCCTTATAATGGTTCTTCCAGCACATGCAGGTTATAGAAAAAAAAAATTCCCTCCCATTGTGAGGTCACCCTTTTATATCTTCCTTTTGTTCAGATCTCCTGCCTCCTATCACATGGTCTCTTGAACAGCCAACCAACAGTCCACCAACCACCCCCACACAAAAGGTGGTGCGCAATGTGAAGGAAAATAACATTCACGTGTTACAAAAATAACAAAACCCGATACGTATAACAAAACATAAGCAAAACAAAAAATATAATTTACAAGAAAAAAGTGCATAGCACTACATTATCTACCCAAGTGACATCTATTAAAGAAGACTTGTACTTAATTCATGGAAGTATAGGTGAAAATAAACTACAGTTCCAAAAAATGGACAGTCAAATAGATATCCTAAATCAGCAAATCAATAATTTAAAAACAGAAAAAGAACTCATGATTTTCATTTTAAAATTCAGTAAATTTTCTATATTTTTTAATTGTTTTATTGTTTATTATTGTAGTTCTAAAAATATTATTATTGTTAAAATGCTTACTTCAGGTGTAGCACCATCTGTTATCGCTTTGTCAGGACTAGCTTCTGATGTGGGTGATGCTTTGCTTTCTTCTTCACTTGTCTGTTCTTGTTCTGAAAGTTCCAAACTTGACTGAGGTGTAATTTCAGGTTGTGTTTGAGTGGGTGCCATGTGATACCTATATTAATTTTTTAATTCTTTACTAATAGAACAAATATTTCTTTATTAACATTTCATAAATTGTTTAATAACTAACCTAATTTCACCATCTTCTTCTTCTTTAGTAATATCAACACCAAATGCTTGCATTGGAGCAACTGTTTCTGATGGTTCTCCTAATAGTGCTAATTCACCCATTGGCATAGTCTCTATTGCAAGAGGTGTACCCATAGGAACCATTACACCTGGTTTGAAAAATAAGTCTACTTTCATTGTTTCTTCTTCTTCAGGAACAGGATATAAAGGTTGACCTCCCATTAGCAACATAATGAATTTTGTTACTGCTCTGAAATGACATTTATTTTAAAATTTATTATTATGAGCCTATCATTCATTAAAATATAATTAATTAAGTAAATTTATTATTTTTGTATTAGTTTAAAACAGAAAATTCATTGATATGAATTTATGCTATATAATACTATAGAAAAACAATTCTGGATAAAAATAATTTTAAAAAAATTATAATTAGAATATTCATGATAAAAGAAATAAAAATATTATAAATATAGAGTGCCTTTCTTTCAAAAAGAAAGACAATGAAAGGTATACTTACCTAACTGAGAAATATATATACCATCCAGTGTAGAAAAATGTGTTAAAAATAATCAAGAAGAAACCTTTTATCAATTCAAGATATGTTTTCTGACACATGATTGCATATTGTTTTTTAAGATTTGATGGTGTGAATAAGCACAAGAATGAAACAATTAAATTAAAAACATAACGAAGACCTCGCTTCACAGGTTCAAAAGCTGATCTGAAAAATTTAAACATTGTCAATTAAGAAATATTTATTTAACAATAACTGTTTATCAACTATTATAATTTTAGATAATTCTAGATAAATTTTAAATAATCTGTTAATTAAATAATTTTTAAAATTAATATATCTAATGTATCTACATGTTGAAAACTGTTTTGTATATAGAAAATTATCAATAAATTTTGGATGACAACATGATTATTTCTGTAAAAAGTCTATTTTCTCTTCTCAACAAAGGTATAAAAAGCTACAATATTAGAATACATTATTGGATAATCTGAAGGGGGACATGTCTCAACTGCTAGGGTTGCTAGTGACTTTCTCTCTGCACTTCGACAAGAAACAAGAAATTAGTGTATTTATCATCCTTAATTAAACCAAGTTAACTAAAAAGTGTTCATAACTAATCACAAATTATTATCTTCTGAAGAAATACTAATAATTAATTGACATGAAATGTTCACCAGCTAAACGTAGCAGACCTTCACTAAACCGAATCAAGCAGGTAAGTAAAAAGGATTAATCAAGCTCANCAGTGGACGGTCGTCAACTGCTGTCACTGAAGAAAATATCGACAAAGTTCACGATTTGTTATTAGCAGATTGCCGTTTGAAAACGCGTGAGATAGCTGAGACAACAGGCATCTCTGTCGACCGAGTGCACCACATCCTAACCGAAAATTTGGGTATGACGAAGGTCTCAGCAAGGTGGGTGCCGCGTCTGCTGACCGCTGAGCGAAAACGTGTTCGCACTTTGATGTCAAAGGAGTGCTTGGACATCTACCAGAAAAACCCACAGCATTTCTTGCGTTGGTTTGTGACTACTGACGAAACGTAAATCCATTACTACACTCCTGAAACAAAAGAACAGTCGAAGCAATGGAAACACCACAGTTCGCCACCACCAAAGAAGGCAAAGACAGTCCCATCAGTGGGGAAAGTGATGGCCTCAGATTTTTGGGATGCTAAAGGCATCATCTTTATTGGCTACCTAGAAAGAGGAAAGACCATCAATGCTGTCTATTACTGTGAACTTTTGGAAAAACTGAAGAAAGAAATCAAAGAATAGAGGCCACACTTGAATAAGAAAAAGGTTCTGTTCCACCACGATAATGCACCTGCACATTCCGCCAGAATCACTGAACAAAAGATAAATGAACTTCGCTTCCAATTAGTTCCACATCCACTGTACTCACCTGATTTGGCCCCCACCATTTTCCAAACCTAAAAAAATTCTTGGCTGGAAAGAGATTCCACTCAAATGACAAAGTCATCTCTGAATTGAATGAGTATTTTGCACACCTTGACAAATCGACCTATTGTGATGGCATAAAAAAGCTAGAACATCGCTGGAATAAGTGCATTGCTAACAAAGGCGACTACATTGAAAAATAAAAAAGTTTTCACATTATTTTGTTTGTTGTTCTATTTGAGGCCGCAAACTTTCCGAACAGCCCTCGTAATAACAGAATTTCCAAGTTTTAATTTGGAAGTTCTGTTATTAATACCATTTTTTTTTGCTCAAATTTGTCAGCAAAAAAATAAGGACGTGCATTATACACGGGTAGTACTAATTCTGTATCTATAAATGTTTTTAATTCTTTTATTTATGCTTATGAGTTAAAAAAGTAACTCTAGAAATCAATAATGCTATATATATATGCAAAATAATACTTTGGAATATGATAATCAGTTATGTTGAACTCATGATAAACTTGCAACTAAAGCAATTACAGTCAATGAATGATTCAAGAAAATGAAATAAAGAGCGACATATTAGCAAATAAAACAGAAATTAATAGAGGAAAAAAAGCAAAGAGTTGTTAGTGGGCGCAATCAATTTTAAAAGAGAGAACAAATTATGGATATTCAGCTACATTAATTCCTTTGTTGCTAGGTATTGATCAAAAACTTTATTTTAAGTAAGTACATACATATATACATACATACATACAAGAAAGACATCGGTTGTACACGAAATGTTTAGCTAGCAGAAAAGAAGGTAAGGAAAAGGGGAGGGGAAGAAGGAGGAAGAGGAGATAGATAGTAGAGAAAGATAGGATCCCTCTGAACGACATACATAAGGCTACAATACCCTCTATGTTTTGATGTTGGCATGCAGTTTTTAGGATGCAAGGCTGTAGTCCTCCAAACGGTCTAAAAGAAATCCTGAATGTAGCGAATACCAATAATTGAGTACTGCCATGAATAGCTAAGTGTAGAAGTTAGTGCCAAGTGACTGTTAGTAAGAAGACTTACAGTGTATCTACTTAATACTAATAAAACTGAATGCAATTGTGAATCTCAATACTACTTAACAGCTAAACAGACAGCTCAAAAAACAAACAAAAACAATGACAAACTAGACAAGACTAATGGACCAATAGAAACAAACGAGCAAGACCCAAAATTTTATTTATTTATTATTTTTATTTATTTTTTTAAACATTAACTTACTCACTAACTAAACTAACCTACCATAACCTAGGACAAACCTAACCAGACGACTAATGCTAACAAACCCTAATCTAATTTAATCTAACCTATCATAACCTAACAGGAAACCAAGCTAAGAGTCCCTAATCTAACTTACAACTAGGACTAACCAAATTTAGACTGAAAAAGAAGACAGAAAATAAGAATTAAAATACAAAGTTGAAAGGCAGCTATATACCAACAGTTGAAACAAAGCATGGGAAAGTTAATTGCCATCTGTGTCCCCGGAATCAGTGTTCCCAAGAGCCCCACTAAGAGATATGAATGTGAGTAAATGATGGAACATTGTGTGTGTGTGTGTGTGTGTGTGTGAGTGTGTGTGAATGAGTTTGTGCGGGTTGCAAGGCCAGTTGTACCCTTCAAGAATTGCAGCTCTCATTAAACTATCCCTAATGTGGTTGTACCTATTGCAGCAAAATACTAACAAGGAGACACTACGGCTTTGAGGAAATGGATTTTGATGATCTTTGGTGTAGAGGTATTATGCCATGGGAGTGTACTACCTGTAAAATACTAAAGTGCAACACTCAAATATAATCGAGAAAAACGAACTTAAAGTTTTCTTTAGCACTTTATATATAAGTTACACGTACTCATGCTTGAGCGTGCTGTGGCATGAGTGGTAATGCTCCTGACTCGTACGCTTGCATGCTTGGGTTCAATTCTTGTTGTGTTTACTTTTTTTCCCTTTTTTTTTATTCATAAATACTTATAATGTATTTATTTATTTACTCATTCATTTATTTCTTATTATTTATTGATTTTTTGGGTTTTTTTTTTTTTTATAATTTTGTCTCATTTCAACAAAGTGGTCATACGTCCAAGAATCAATCAAATGATATTTATCAAAAATAGTTCCACCACATTCAACATGTTTTTCCCATAATTTTAAATGATTTCTTTTCAAATGACTACATCTGTTTTTTTTGCAACGTTTGTAGTTTCCACATAGGGTGGGCTTTTGCTACTTTTAAAACTTTGATTTTATATTCCAGTGAAATATATTCCTTCATTTTATATATTTTTTATCAGGTACATAGTCATCAGATGAGTCATCTTTAACTGCTTTGAAATTTCCTTCTGCACACTCTTCTTGGGCATAAATCAATTCTTCATCAATTATAAAGTTTTTTAATTTAACACACCCAATGTATTATTGTATAATTCTGTGCCTATCAGCATAGCATCTTCAGATAGTGTATCAGAAGATATTGTTGCGATTAAATTATTTTTGAAAAGTAAACTCTCATAATACACTACTCCATCTTTTAGCCACTGTTTCGATACATCACTGTATAAAGAGTTATCATCAACAGTTTTTTTGTCACAATGTGAAGAACTTGCTTCTCTTGATGACATTTTTTTTAATTATAAAATAATTTTTCAAATAATCAATAAATAATAAGAAATAAATGAATGAGTAAATAAATAAATACATTATAAGTATTTATGAATAAAAAAAAAAATGGAAAAAAGTAGACACAACAAGAGAATTGAACCCAAGCATGCAAGCGTATGAGTCAGGAGCATTACCACTCATGCCACACCATGCTCAAGCACGAGTACGTGTAACTTATATATAAAGTGCTAAAGAAAACTTTAAGTTCGTTTTTCTCGATTATATTTGAGTGTTGCACTTTAGTATTTTACAGGTAGTACACTCGCATGGCTTACTACCTCTACATCAAAGATCATCAAAATCAGTTTCCCCAAAGCTGTAGGGTCTCCTTGTAAGTGAAGTGGTGTTTGGCCCTCCTGAATACCACAATCGCATTGTGAATTGTCCCCAAGGTTAAATCTATGCAAGTATTGCTTAAAGTTACCGTGTCCTGTAAGTAGCTGAGTGAGGGTGTAACTAGGGTAAAAGTGGCAAAGAATTGCAGTAGTGTCAACCTTGGGATGAAAGTGTAAGTGAGTCTACCAGTGGTGTCATGGTCCCAGCTGTCTTGCCAGAGAATGAAGATTTGCTTCTTGACGTGATTGTTGATGTATGAGGTAGGAATGTAACTGAAAGTACTAGTGACTGAAGACTTTGCAGCTTGTTTGGCAAAATGGTCAGCGGTCTCATTACTGAGAACCTCCACATGACCCAAGACCCATTGGAAATCTATTCTAGTGTTGTTGTCTACAATGATTAAGTAAGTACAGTAGTTACAAGTATTCATATAAATATGAATTAAAAAATTAAAAACAAACAATTCTTCCTGAAAGTTTTGGCCGAAAAATACATTACACACAGCATAAGAAAAAAAATTGAAGTTTAAAAAACATTAGTACAATTTTTAAACATTATAATAAAAACAAGTAGATTATTTTTCTGTTAATCACAAAAATTTTATAGTTGTGTTGCATTTTATGTGTATGTAAAACAAATCAAACGATTATTAATTAATTCATAATAAAAATGCATAAAGCATAAAAATACTGTAATGATTAACCTATGTAAAGAAAGATCTAGAAAGTAATTTAAAATATTTTTATTAAAATTAATACCTTGATTTGAGGTTTTTCCCATTGATTTATTGTTGATTCTTTTATTTCAAAATAAACTCTCTCTATTCTATTTTGGCCACCTTTCAAGTAAAATTAAATTAAAACAGTGTTAAATTTATTCAATAATAAAAATAATAAATAATTTTAATAGTTTCTTAAATAAAATATTTACTAAATACACATACTTATCAAAAATAAATCTACACAGCAATAAATGTCTAGAGTCAATTTTACTTGAATTTATGTTTGTCTATTTTATTAAAATTACATTTATAAATTGAGATGCTGACTATAAATAACAGTTTGCAGAAGTTTGGGAATTAAATGAATGAAAAGCTGATGATTGACCATGTTCAATTGTTATACTATATAATTATCAATTACTAAAATGTCATAAAAATTGAATATTGCAAAAAGCTATTGAAATAAATTTCTCTATCTATACTAATATATAAAGAGGTAATGTTTGTATGTATGTATGTAAGTTTCGTTGCAGCAGGTAATCTCCGAAACTACTCATCCGATTTCAAAAATTCTTTCACCAATATTTAGAATGGAACCTCAGGGTGGACATAGGCTGTATATTATTCCGTTAAACATTCATATAAATTAAAATATATAATCTAGGTTAAGGCTTTTATGTCCAACAGATGGCGCTACGAGTACGACGCCCTAAGTTTGCTTTTCTGTGAGGCATTATGCTTTTCTGTGAAAATGAACTAAAGCAGATCATCTTCTATCTATCTATATAAATAAAAATGTAATGTTCGTTTGTTCCTATCGATTCCTTTGAAATTTTGACACAATGCTGCATTCGAATACACACGTGTTTTTATATAATATATGTGTCGAAATTCCCCCCACTGAAGAGAGATGGTTAGGATTAAGGCTTACGGTAAAGAACTCTGCTTCTATTTATACTATTTTAGATGCGGGTTTTTGCGTTTTTGATTGTGTTTTAATAGGATACGTCAACAGAATGTACACTAAGAAGAGATTTTTCTATATTCCACCACGGGGGAGAGGGACAGAATTAAGGCTTACCGTGAAGAACTTGGCTTCTATTATATTATTTTAAATGCAGGTTTTTGCGTGTTTGATTGCGTCAAGAGAATGTACACTAACAAGTAAGAAGAAATTTTTCGAAAAAATCCCCCCCACGGGGGAAGTGTTATACATTTATAATAGATACATTTTGAGCCACAACAACGCGTGGCAGGGTCTGCTAGTTAAAAAATAAAGCTGTGGATGAAAATTTTGTAATTTTATTATTTTAATTTTAAATTAAAAATATATACATAAATTGAAACATCTATGAAGTATATTTTTAAAAATATATTCTGATTTTTGTAATGGATATGTATATTTTATATGCTGTTTATCTAAACTATAATTTAAATGTTTGTAATTTTGTTTTCCCCCTGCATCATGGTAATAAGTTCAAGTATGTATAAATAAAATAAAAATATATATTCAGCTTATAATTAAATATCAGAATTAATTTCTTTTCACATAATCATTTTTTTACACATAGAAGATAAATACAAATTTATATTAGTTTCTACAGTATTGGTTTGATCCTTCTAACAAAATAATTTTATTTTTAAAATCAATTTTAAACTTGAACAATAATTTTTTAAAATTTAACAACAATGGTTAAAATAAATTTTAGATCATATTACCTAGAATTTCAATTCTTCCTAAAAATGGTTCAAAATAATTCAAAACACTGCTTGCTGTTTCTAAAAATCTAGTCAACCTAAAATAAAATATTAATATTTAGTTAGCAAGACCCATAACACAGATTCATCATACTTTGGTTACTACTTTATGAAACTTATACTACTACTACTAAAAGCCAAAATACATTTTGAGTTTATGATCCTCTTCAGTGGCTATAACAACATAATTATTTAACAACTATTAAACATATTTAATAAGTATCAAAATGCAAATTGTCATCAAAATAATAGATTTAACATGATTATGATGCACCAATAACTAATGCTTTGTCAGAATACATCAATAGTCCAATATGCATTTCTTATGTAGATGTTATGCAGCATTCTTATGAATAATATCTACATAACAATTTGCATTTTAATACTTGTTAAATAAACTGAGTATAATAATAATAATAATAATAACTCTCCCGTGGTCACCACCTGGACGTGGTGGGAGAGCCCAGTAATTTTACTGAACCATAGAGCAATGCAGGCTGGAGCACAAGCTCCTGCTAGGGACACCCATGCCAGTAAGGTCTATGGGGAAAAATGAAGCTAAGAGTAACCACACCCACATTCTGTGGAAATAATTATCATGACAGTAACCAGATCAAAGTGTGCTACCGGCTCGGACGTGGCCCGGGTTAACAAGGTCCGCGTTCGTGGGTTAGGCAGAGGCTCACGTTCGAAAAANTCAAAGCTGACATGGATGAAGTTTTGGGAGAGTCTGCTCCTTCGTACACCACTGTGAAAAAATGGACAGCCCTTTTTAAATCTGGCAGAGAGAGTGTGGAAGATGACCCTCGCAGCAGATGGCCGTCAACTGCTGTCACTGAAGAAAATATCAACAAAGTTCACGATTTGTTATTAGCAGATCGCCATTTGAAAACCTGTGAGATAGCTGAGACAACAGGCATCTCTGTCGACCGAGTGCACCACGTCCTAACCGAAAATTTGGGTATGACGAAGGTCTCAGCAAGGTGGGTGCCGCGTCTGCTGACCGCCAAGCAAAAACGTGTTCGCACTTTGATGTCAAAGGAGTGTTTGGACTTCTACCAGAAAAACCCACAGGATTTCTTGCGTCGGTTTGTGACTACTGATGAAACGTGGATCCATTACTACACCCCTGAAACAAAAGAACAGTCGAAACAATGGAAACACCACAGTTTGCCACCATCAAAGAAGGCAAAGACAGTTCCATCAACGAGGAAAGTGATGGCCTCGGTTTTTTGGGATGCTAAAGGCATCATCATTATTGACTACCTAGAAAGAGGAAAGACCGTTAATGCTGTCTATTACTGTAAACTTTTGGAAAAATTGAAGAAAGAAATTGACGAAAAAAGGTCACACTTGAAGAAAAAAAAGGTTCTGTTCCACCATGATAATGCACATGCAGATTCCGCTAGAATCACTGAACAAAAGATAAACAAACTTCGCTTCCAATTACTTCCTCATCCACCGTACTCACCTGATTTAGCCCCCAGTGACTTCCACCTTTTTCCAAACCTAAAAAATTTCTTGGCTGGAAAGAGATTCCACTCAAATGATGAAGTCATCTCTGAAGTGAACGAGTACTTTGCACACCTTGACAAATCGACCTATTGTGATGGCATAAAAAAGCTAGAACATCGCTGGAATAAGTGCATTGCTAACAGAGGAGATTACATTGAAAAATAAAAAAAGTTTTAACATTATTTTGTTTGTTGTTCTATTTGAGGCCGCGAACTTTCCGAACAGCCCTCGTATATCTTCTCTATATCAATTAGTCTATGAAAAACTTGGTTTCGTTATAACTTGTTTCACTTAAAGTTGCAATTTCCAAGAACCTATTGATGACGTTAAACAAGAACTTACCATGTATATTTTTAATAGTTACAAAATAATAATACTAAAATCAAAAATTTTTATAGCAATTTAACATTAACATTACAGATGTAACAAATTGATGTTTTGTGATTTTGAATTCCACATATGTCTAGAAGTAAAGATTCACTTTTAATCTGTCAAAAATAAATGGTAATTAATGTATCTCTATGTAATACATCTCTGTAATACAACAAATGGTAGATGGACTCACAGAAAATTTTCAGTTAGGAACTACAATTTTATTCTCATTTCAATACAAATTAAACTATTTGTTGACAAATGCATTTCAGGTTGGCGCAGTACATTACAACCCCTCCTCAGTGTCTTAAAGATAAAAAATTGTGCATGGGAAACCAACACAACTATAACACCAACACATGTTATACATCAATACATCGTACAGGTATCGTACAAGCTCAAAGAGCACTTGAAGTTTTAATACCACCGGATAACCTCATCGTGTTAAAATATATAGTGATATAAACAGTTTACCAACTGTTTATATCACTATATATTTTAACAATTTTGAGAATTATATTATACAAAATTGACAATATATCACTATATATTGTCAATTTCGAGAATAAAATTGTAGTTCCCAACTGAAAATTTGCTGTGAGTCCGTCTACCATTTGTTGGATTACAGAGATGCATTATATAGAGATCTAATATACAGCAATCCAGTTATATAATATAGGTAATTAATATACTTTTCTCAAAGTATAGAAATTGTTAGCATCTAAAGAAGTTCAATCAAATGTCTGAATTGATCTTCAAAATATACAAACATCTAAAAAAATTATTAGTTAATTTAAATTTGTTGTTAAAATATTTATGACATGATAATATCACTAATTCTAAATCAAACTATATGCTAAACTGTTTGAATTCTAACCTTAAAGAAAGTCAAAAATTTAGTAACATTAATTCTTTAATTTCAAAGCATAATTCTCAACATTCCTCATATTTATTAGATAAAACTTAATTTCTTTAGAATTGAATTAACAATATAATATTTTAAAATTTATGATCTTGATTCTGAAAGAATACTTTAGCTTTAAAATTTTTAGATTATCAAAAAGTACAATTCATAAAGTAAATGCTTCAGTAAATCATTAAATCAATTACATACAACCTTGTACAGCAGCAAAAAACTTTATTAAATAAGAGAAAGCTAACATTTTCAGTCATATTTAATGGCCTTCATTGGATCTGATGTTTGAAAAATCTAACATTTACAAATACAGTAGGACCTCAATTATCCAGACTAATTGGGGATGAAGGTAGTCTGGATAAGGAAAAATTTGGATAATCGAAACAAATACTTTAATTTGTCTTTTAATAATAATACAACACATTTTCTTTTTGATGACATATCGGTAATATTAAGAATAAATACTGTATTTAAATCGTGATCAAATTTTCAAGAAACAAACATTCGTATTGAATTTGGACTACTACAGACCAGAGCTATTCTATTCGTTCTATTCTATTCGTCTCCCCCTGGCTGATTCATATGGAGATAATAGCCGTAGTGTGCTTTTTCTCCGATAAGTTCTGACCAGCACTAACAGACTATCTATTGTTAAAAGGCCCTTTGGTGGCGCAAGAAGACGGATTTTATAAAATAAAAAGCAGTTGAAACTGCATTTTTATGAATAAAAATTTGACAAACTATTTATCGTTTTATGACAAGCAAAACTTTTTCGTTGCGTTCGCGGCTTTTAAGTAATGCATAAACCTTCGAGGCACGAGGCCCTTCGGACCGTAAAGCATAGGTGGTGGCCCACGTTGCCATACGCCGCCCTTGGTCATAGAAATGATGTAATTTGAATGTAAATTATTTATAAATACGTATGTCAAGTTATATTTTTATTATGACGCAAAATATATTTAAGAGTTTACGACCACTGTGCCGGGTGAGACGTTGAAATAAAAAAAGTTATGCATTCCATCATGTACATAAACAGTATCGTAATTCGCCTAATGCAAATCAGCAAATTTGTAAAATTTTTGTTTATTTTGAGCAATCCGGATAATCGAGGTTCTACTGTACTAACAAAAATTAAATAAAAATACAGTGGTGCCTTGTACTGTACTTTGAATTTACTTCATTCTAGGTGGCTGTTCAAACCCAAATCAATTTTTCCCATTAGAAATAATGAAAAGCAAATTAATCTATTCTCACATCCTAAACAGTACCCATTTTAACAAACTTAAAATAGCAAATACACATAATTTAAAATAAAAAATAACAATTAAATCCCTTAATAATAAATTAAAACAAAAACAAAAAATTAAATATGTAAATACTGAATAATAAAATGAAAATTGCATTTACTGTTGCACACTGTCAACTTTTCATCTTAAACATGACTACTTAATTTATCACACTTATACCATGGATAAAATCCTTTTTCATCTCAATTGTTGGTATTAAAACCTTCCTCTTAGATCTTTGCTGCTTCCACACACTTCTCAGATGTCACAATTAATAAGTAAAGGTTATAATGGGTTGAACAAAAGTTTTTGCCTACTTTTAACAGTTGTCCTTAAAATAGATGTAAGATTTAATTATAATAATTGTGAAATATAACATCTTATTGCTAATTTGAGATTGTTTTCTTTGTTTAGAAGCTTATTTTAAACTTTTTACTTCATATTTTGTTTGAATAAAATCAAATCCAAATGGCTTCATATAAGAATAATATCAAGCTTATTTCAGAAAAAATCTTTTGAGTTTTGGAAAAAAATACAATACTAAAAAGAAAAAGAAGAAAAAAAAACACAGAAATTTGTACTGCATATGGAAAAGATACTCCTAAACTAAAAATGTGTCAAATATGGTTTAAAAAGTTCCATTTGGAAAGTTTTGAACTAAAGTATAAAAAACACAGGGGTGTTTAAAAGCTGTAGACAAATAAAGATTGCAGAAAGAAACAATATACAGTGGGTAATCGGTTAATAAACAGTTTGTATAGCGAACAAATCAGATAATGAACACTTTGCAAAAGATTTTTATGATTGGACAACAAACACATGTTCAGATAACGAACACTTTACTGAACAAACATAAAAAGAAGTGAAGGAAAATAATGAATACCGATTGATTTTCCCTTGTCTTCAGGTAACAATTAGAAACCTTTCGGAGTGTGAGAGACGTCAACATCAATACTCAACCCGATCCCAATCAGATAGTATTCCTCCGAATTTTGAAACTCTCCCTTGTAATTCCAGCTTTTTGTTTACCTTTCTGACAAATAATTTTTTATAGTCTTCATGAGACTGTTGAACAGACACTTGTTAAGTTTTGCGTCAGGGTTTATTTACAAAAAGTGAAAGTTTAACTGTCCTATCAGATATTCATTAACATTTTAATACCAAATTTTGAATTTCATCAGAGCCTAGAAACCAAGTAAGAAAAAATAGCCAAGGTAGAAATTGGGCACAA